AGTTTGGTACCACTAAACGTCTAACACTGATCTTGAGTAAGATTCGTCACCTACTATAAAATGTTTGTATGTTTCCCACTCATTAGCAATTATGTACAACTTGCAAGCGGATTTCCCCATGATTATTCTGGTGGCCGTAGAGAATAAATTATATTGATCAAAACAATAAGTTTCCGTTCCCTACTATGGGTATTATTTCACATTCCATACTCAAACTTAAACTCAATGACCACTTTCCTTCAGATTACTTTGCAGGAAAACTAAAACATTTCAAAAATAAGTTAACAAATACACTTTCCTTGATCAAAATCGTGTGTTTATAAACAGAAACTCCAAGTTTAATTATTGCATACTGAAAGTGATGTTATAAAAATAATAACAAATGTCTGACAAACATTAAACAGCTGACGAATAATGTATAAACTGTGTATTATATTCTTCAATAAGAATTGTAATGACTCTACCTTTAAAGGGCTGTAGGTCGTAGCCCTTAGAAAAAACGTAAATTCTAAGGAAGTTCGGCAAATCTACACACTATCCCCTTTAATTTGAGACATAAATCTTGTAGATCGGTCCAGTAATTACTGAGAAAACAGTGTTACAACTGTGTAGATAATATATAGATCAATATATATTATATATATAGATTATATATGTTCAATATATAGATTATTTCAAGTATCATATTTTTGAAAAAAGTCAACGAACATTTCTTTTATTTTATGTCCTACCTTCACATCCTAGGATGCCAGATCTAGCCCAGAACTGTTTTACACATTACTTCAGGCTAGTCATTGAGAGTCGCGGAATTATCACATAGATAAAGTCCATTGGTGATTGGTGGGATTTGAACCCTGGACCTCGGGCTCAAAAGCCCCAAGCTTTACCACTAGACCAGCTCGCTCAACAATCCAATGACAATAATATTTAATAATACAATCTGTACATTTTTTAAATATTTTGTTCTCTGTAAGAAACGCTTTCCTTAATTTGGAAATGGACAGTGATTTTGCAGATATTCAAACCTTAAGCTCGCATAAGGGACAGTACAGAGTATATAGATTAATGTTTGGCATTAAAGTTGCTCCTGGCATTTGGCAGAAAACAATGGCCAAGACGTTGGCAGGCCTAAAAGGAATACAGTGCTTCTTTAACAATATAGTCATTCAAGGAAATTTGGAAGAAGAACTACTTCTGCCTTTGGAAAGTGTCTTAGGATAACTAAGAGAAAAAGGTTAGACTCAATTGTGACAAGCGCAAGTTTCTCCAGAGAAGAATACATTATTTGAGCAACGTCATTGATAAAAAGGGTATTGATAAATGTATGGACAAAATAGCTGCCATAACTAAGGCTAGAAAACCTGGGAATGTAAGCGAACTCCGGACATTTTTAGGTTTGGTGAAATATTACAACCGATTTATAAATACCTGGCTACTCTACTGACACCATTACATAAGCTTTTATAGAAAGGGAACAAATATGTTATGAATGAACAATGTAAACAGAGCAGTGGCGGTTCTAGGACCTTGTCAAGGGGGGGGTTAAGGCTGGGGGGCCCGGGAAAATAAGCCGTTTGGTGACTTTCTAATGCCATTTTTAACACCTCAAACCCAATTGTCCATAAACTCCCAATTAACCAGTTGCTTGTCATGAACAAATAGACATTTAAAAAATTTAACTATGACGATTTACAATCATGAATTTCAAAACACAGTGTAGACTACGGCCATGTCCTCCTAAAATCCGTTGGGTGACTTTCTACAGCCAGTTTTAACGTCTAGAACTGTGTGCAAAACCTCCATTTCCCCATTTATTTGTCATGAATAAGTAGACATATTTAAAACTAACCATCACAATTGCATTCATAAATCTCAAAACATATTGTGGGCTACGGCCATATCCTCCTAAAAGCTGTTTACTGACTTTCTAACATCTATTTCTGACATTAATAATGTCTATATCTGTGTCCAACTGTCCATAAACCTCCCATTTCACATGTTATTTGTCTTTGTCATGAGCAAGTAGACACTTTAAAAATCTAACTATGACGAACTGTAGACTACAAAGCCATATCTCCTAAAAGCCATTTGGTGGCTTTATAAAGCCATTTCTAACGGCTAGAACTGTACCCAATTGTCCTAAAACCTTCCATTTCACCTGTTATATGCCACGCAAGCAAGTAGACATGTTTTTTAACCTTACGTTTTTCTCCATTTTAGAGATCTGTCACAATATGTATATGATCGAATTCAGTAATAGCATTGACTATATAAACTGTTAAACTATTGTTTATTTATAGTCAATGGTAATAGGCTACTGGTGCTACCGCTGATTGATGCCTGTGTAAAGTTAGTGGCTAGCAGACAATTTGACAACTAACATTGTTAACATGGTTAACATTGTCTCACTGATGAGCGAATTGGCCACTTTGCTTTCTCAAATCAGTGAGAGAACATGTACATTGTTAGGTAACTGTAGGAAAATGTAGTTGCAATAAATTTTACATTTACCTAATGTGCGTCGAATAAAAGTAACGTCTTTGGAAAAGTAGCTAAAATTGTAGCTATAGCTAAATTTCATTGTAGCTGTAGTTGTAGCTATCTACTTTTTCGGAACTGTAGCTAATAGCTATAGCTAAGCTACTTTTTTTGGAAATGTAGCAGTAGTTGTAGCTAGCTACATTTTAAAAGTAGCTTCCCCAACAATGATTAAAATCAGGTGTGATTATTTGTTTAAATTACTGTATTCTGTTTTGCTTATTTCAGCTAAACTTAACCAATCAATAGTTTTATTAATATCCTACTTATGAAGTCAAAAGGGATGAAGTCCGTGGGTAACAGCTAGTTATTGTTGTCATTTAATGCACATTATTTATTTTTGTATTGTCATCTCAATGAATCCTTTTAAAACTGGTTGAATATTGTTCTTTGAATTACTTATTATATAATTATGGTTAAAGTAAATTATTTAATGCATGTGAATGACATTATTTACTGTTGTATTGTTATCTCTATTAATCCCTGGTTAACTATTGTTGTTTAAATTACTTCCTATTAGGGGTCTGCGGTACAGAAAATTTAAGGTCGGTACGGTTCGGTACGGTACAATATTTTGTACCTCGGTTCTCGGTACAAAATCGGTACGGTACGCGGCTACCCGTATTTTTGCGGTTTTCTGGTCAGAACTGTATTTAAACCATTATTTTTAACTTTAATACATTGACATAACTATGAAAATGGATAGTATCCTACAGTCATGGTTTTCTAACAACAATTACTGTACCACACATTATTAAAAAAAAAAAAAAACTTACTACTACGAGGATTGTGTCAAGAAAAATCACAGTTAAGATAAAGGCTTTATCTATTTTACTCTGAGATACTTTGAATAGCCATGATAAAAGTGGTTTTAAAAATATGATAAGAGTTTTTAGGAACAAACATGTTTGAAACATTTATTGACAAGATAATTTAACAAAACTGGTAAATTATTTCCAACCAACACAGTGTCTAGTTGTTTTAAAAAAATTTTAAAACATATAGGCCTAAAAGTATTTAGTACGATGACAGTGTAGTTGACAGCTGTTCACTAGAGGTTATGATGAAGTAATGGCAAAGAGCATATTTTTGTATCAGCTTCAAGACTAGTTATAAGATTGATACAACTTTTGAAAAGTTTTTTTCTGAAACTAAAATTTGGATTATCACAGAGTAAGATTATTGTCTTTTCATTTACAAAGTTAACATCCACAATATCAATCAAATCAATCATTAGTTTATCTTAGGCTCAATTCAATTTTCTTAGTATATTTTAAAGCTCTTCCAAAGAATCAAAAGACCCAGACCTAATTATTTAGGAGGGCCTATATATAAATTGATTAGGTTACAATGAGGGTAGCAAAATCACTATCTAGTTCATAAGATTTAGATTGCATAAAGTACCTTCAACACAACACAAAAATACAGGAAACTAAAAAAAACATTTTAAGCCTTAAACAGCCACATCTAACGATATAAGACAAAATACAGAACATGAAAAAAAAATTATGCAAACAACAACAACTATGCTTGTGGTTGTCAATAGAAAGATAAAATATCTATAACAAATATTTTAACTTATAAAATAAGATTGTAGATTAGTTACAAATTTAATATGTAACCATAAACAGTTTAATGGCAGTAGGCAATGGCCAGCGGCAAATTGAATATCTACGAAAATACTGACTGAGTTAGAGATAACATTTAACAGTCATCATAAAACTATTATTGTTATGATAAAATAGAATTGGCGAAAGTCGTAAAGAAATAAAAGTGATAAAACTCAACAGTTCTTGGAAGTACTTGAATACAACAATTATTATTGTCGTGATAAAATGTTAATGGATTTGGAACTGATAATGGGGTTTTTATTGCATCACCCTAGTAATAAATAATAAATTATAAAGATCTTAAACAAACATCACTGATAAGACTTTTATGTGCTGGGAACCAACTGTCCTTGACTACGATAGTAAACTGAAAGTAATTTATTATTATAATTAGGCTGTACCGTGTAAAATGCTGTACTGTACCGAACCGATGACGGTAATTAAGCTTGTACCGTACCGTACCGACATTTTCGGTGCACCGCAGACCCCTACTTACTATATTATTGTTAAAGTTAAGAATTATTTAATTAATGTTATTTATTGTTATATATTTATTTATTGAAGATATTTTTTTTCTTAGTTTTTGTTAAAGCTAGTTAATTTTAGGCTTATATAGAAATTTGTCTTTGAAAAGTAGAGTATAAGTGCAAACAACAGTGAAAGCAGATCTTGACCAAAATCAAGGAAAACCAAACTGGTGATAAGGACTGACCAAAGACAAAGTATATTGTTATCAAGAACCAGTTTTCTCTATGAAATTTTCCTCGCTTTTACAGCAAGTTATTTATACAATTTTGTAAGACTTTGTGATTTAAAAGAAAAAAGAGTGTTATACAGAGTGTTTTGTTGCAGGAAAGAAGTTTTCTTAATCAGCATAACCACTGCCATCGTAGTCAACTTAGTGATAAGAAGAAGGATAGATCATTCGATTAGTTACCATTCCAATCAGGTACCTATTAATATTTCAAATATCTTGCATTTTTCAAGTATTTTTACTCAATGAAAGTTAACAGTGTTGCTTTAAATCCCTACCTGTTAAAATTACCTATTAATACCTAATACATTTATTCCTTGATTGGTTTTTATCTATATTTACTTTATAAAAATATAATTTCAAAAATTACTGTCCTAAAGGTATACATTTTATTTTTCCTATAATAATGGGTTTCAAACAACACTAGTATAAATTTAGACTTAAGTTCACAATATCATACTCTCTAGTATTAATACATGAGTGGTGGTGTTGGTAGTGTACATTTTTAAGTCAAGGTATTGTTTATTACTTAATAATAAAAAGACTGGACTGAAATAAAGACTATCTCACCATTGTTGGGTTGCCTGGTAGTGGTAATACAAGTACTTGCCTAGTAACTACGGATGGGTCAGTTGTTAATATGGGTTGGAGAATTGACGTAACATAAACATGAGTACAGTAGAACCTCTTTAATCCGAACTAATTGGGACCAGGGGTAGTTCGGACTATTGAATAGTTCGGATTACAGAACATATTGTTGTTTTTACATAAGAATAGCTAAAACATGGCTAAAATTGATCAACATTATTTTGGGAATAGTGAAAAAATGTTTTATAAAGTAAAATACAGTGTTTATTTAATACAGTAGTTACTATGGTGAATAAACAATATTGTAAATTAAATACAGTATACAATAAAGAACTGCACCCCATCTATATGGAACAGCTGTCACCAATTTGTTATTAAAAAAAAACATAGTTATGTGAGCCAGTCACAGAATGTGTTAGGGTCTAAAAATCCATTTTCTACCTTATGTATTGTTGATGACCAAGGTGATGGGTCTTATCAGTTGCTATAGTTCACCATAAGTCATTCCATTAGTTTGACTTAGTTTAAAAGTCTGTGCATTCGACAGAAATTAGTGTTTTAGATCAGTGCAGTCTATCTGTGGCTCACATCAACTAAAACGATTTTGATTTTAAAACTGGCGACAACTTTAACATGGGGATGCAATGTTTAGCTGTATTCAGGGTGTCTACCAGTCTGGAATTCCAGGAAATTTGGGAAAAAGTCGGGGATTTTGAAAGGTCGGGAAAAGTCGTGAAAAAGTAATGAATTTCAGCTGAAGGTCGTGAATAATAGACGATAGACAAATTCTTTATTCCTTCAACAATATACACATGTTGTAATAGACATCTTCAAACTTAAATTAAATAGCAAATAACAAGCTAACAAGGCAACAAATATTTGTTCTGTCAAAAGATACATATAATACATAAATAAATGTCACAAAAATATAATGATCTAAAATAATCTTACCCTTCAAAATTAGGGGTGATCGGGTCCCAAAACTTCGGAAAATGTTCGAGTATTCGCAATCATTGGGACGGGATTACATTTGATACAGGATTTTCCTGGCATGTGATTCGTTCCGATTGTCGGCCATTTCGCCGCGCCGCGAGTGACGATGGAATCTAGGTATTTAAGTTATTAGGAAAATGTATCCATTTACTTGAGTTTATCTGTTTTCTCAGTATTGTTAACCCATTGATTGCCACGAGCGGTTGAAACAATTGTATTTGAGGTTTACCAGTAGTATTGCTTCTAGGATTTTCGGCCTTTTCTCCACATAAATGTAGGTGTTTAGGTAAATTGTTATAAAATACTTATTTATTGACATTTTTGACCTAAATTTGTTTTGTTTTGTAGATTATTAGCTCACACATTTTAAAATACTAATTTTAGTTGAGATTTCATGAGTTAAAATAAAATATACCACAGACCCCTAATATTTAGTGATTTTTTTTAAATATTGGCTATGGATCCCGTTCCTTAGTAACAACTTGATTCTTCCAGCTTGACATAGTAAAGAAGTCACTGAAGTCGTACAGTTCCCAGGACTCTGGCATGTCCGACCTCAGTCTGCCTCTACAACGCTCCAGTGAGAGCTTTGAGTCTCGCTTCCTCACTGACTTCATCCCTGTCCATTGTCTCGGGAAAGGAGGCTTTGGTGTGGTGTTTGAAGCTAAAAATAAAATTGACGACTGCCACTATGCAATTAAGCGCATTCCTCTTCCCAACAGGTTATTTACACCATATCCATAAGCTATATTGTACCCCTTTAATTCTTGTTAGTAGATGGGTTAAATCAAAATTAGTTTTTTTTTATGGAAATATTCTGTTACATATTTTGTAAAAAAAAAATTAAGTTATGTAAAACTAGAGTTGTTGATGGCACATTTTAGTAGCACGCCTAAATAAGTAGTCTACCTATCGATTTTGTAGGCCTAACACAGAGAATTCATTGAGTTAACAGATCCAGCTATAAAGTAACTATTTATTTGCTGAAATGTAGCCTACATATCATAGTTTTTTTAAGGTTAAATGATAATTTTACTTACATAAGTAAATAGAACTTGATGGCTTAAACATATTACATTATTTATGGAACATTTCAATGGTTTTGCAGTGGGTATACTGTCTCTACACAATAAGGGAAATCAGTACTTTGACTTGAGTTTGTTAATTGTGGTGTTGATTTGCAGTGAGGAGTCAAGAGAGAGAGTGATGAGGGAGGTAAAGGCATTGGCCAAGCTTGACCATCAGAACATAGTGAGGTACTTCAATGCTTGGCTAGAGTGCCCTCCCCCAGGCTGGCAGGAAGTTCAAGATCAGTTCTGGTTAAACAACAGGTAAATAGTGTTATTTACTCTTTGCTAGGAAACCAACTGTATCTATTATTCTTTCCGCTCCTACTATCTAAACGTCTGTCAACACTGGACGCTGGTCAGCTTTTAAGTACAGCATGTTGTTTTATTTTGATACCCCTTCACAAACTGTGGTACAATGCATGTTACTACTATGAACAAGAACACCATCACCTAAGCTCGACGCATTTGATAAATTTATCACTTTTAATCATTTAACTTTTTTTGTGACTATTTCCTTCTTACCCTCCAAAGTAAAGACACCAAAACAAATTTTTTACGCCACACTACATTATTTTGACGAACTTCCCACGCAAGGATTTAGTCCAGAAAACAGCTGTTTGCCGCCAGCTTATTCAAATGGGGTTTCATTGCGTACTACTGTACTGCAATGAGTTTTACCGGACACCAATCAGCTTATACTGTATTTAGATGGCAGTGAGTGGTTATAAACAAAAACATAACCTCTCTTGGAGGTAATGACTAGTGATTGTTAGTACTAAAGGAAATATATAAGGATATGTACGGATTTAGTAGTATGGCGTAAACTATCGTACGTAACTCGTCCAAAATGTGTGTACCGGACTCGTATGGTAATCCCGTACTCGACTTCGTCTCGCACGGGAACGACCACACTCGTCCGGTAAACACCTATTTTCAGGACTAGTAACGTAATATACTATTTCAGGTTTTTCCCCCATTGCACAATATGTACAATATTTTGCCTTGATGGTGGAAGAAGATGGTATTATTTTGTTGTGATAGCTAGGGATGAGAATGACATTTCTATGGTTATAGGAAGAGATGATGATTTGTCCATGACCATGGGAGATAAACAGGTTTTTCTAGGATTGTGGGAGACGGTGATGATGTCCCCTAACCAAGGAAAATGGTCACGATAATATTATTACAACCATATCACTAACATAAATGTACATTACACCAAATTAATCATTACTAAATTTAATACTCCTTGCTTAAATACATCATAACATCAATAACAATTTTGAAAAAAATAATGAATTGTATAAAAAAGTTTGATTCGGGCTCAGCCCGATCTAAAATCTCAGGCTCCCATTACCCCTAATCAAAAATCAAATGTAATTATTTAACTTTACTGTTAATTAATGCGCTTTCACTTAAACTTACTAAGGATGAGCTCTCAGGAACTTAACTCTTCTTCCGATTTTCAGGGATTGCTTCAGCTCTAATGGCGAAGCTTTCACTGTAGACCTGACTGGACAAGTGACACCAGATAGTGAGAAGAGCTTCGGACATGTGATCAACAGGAACAGACTAAGGTTACAGCCCAAGTCTCTGTGGCAACCACCCCAAGAGTGTGTGTCTCACAGCTCAGCCCTGCCTTCTAAACTAGAGCCCTTAGAGGACGACAACGACTCCTTCATTGTGTTCCAATCACATTCCAAAGAGTGTTCAGACGAAACCATGTCAGAAAACAACAATGATATCAAAGAGATTGAAGTAGAAGATAGCCAAAGATTGGACAGTGCAATAACAATGACATCAGACACATCCATGGACACAAATACTGATGTGACGGACGTAACTGAGAGCGAGACTCCAAAAAGACCAAACAAACTGGCTTTGAAAAAAACGACAGAAACTCGTGACTCATCTAGGATGTATCTGTTTATTCAAATGCAACTGTGTAAGAAGAAAAGTCTCAAGGATTGGTTAAAAGATAACATTCATAATAGATCAAAGCCAGATGTGATCAGTATATTTGATCAAATTGTCCAGGCAGTAGAATATGTCCATATGCAGGGTCTTATTCATAGGGATTTAAAGGTGAGTTATCTTGCTAGTGTATTATTAAAATTGTTTTACTAATATGCAACAAGATTATCGTACCCTTGCTCTGACCATTTTTAAAATACAGTGATCTATCACTAATCTGGTCCCATATTGTAACTAGGTAATGCCGTATTACTGAAAGTGGTGGACGAGTGCCAATAAAAGTAATGGGGAATCTTTTTTTTAATATAATATTGGGTACATAATCTTTGAACATCTCCTGATCTCGGTAGTATCGTGAATTTTTCTAAAAATCGCAATACATCACAAGAATAAAAGTTTGGTTGAAAAATCAAACCACTCTCACCCCTCTAATCTTGACATAACCTCTCACAAACACTAACTTCATAAACAAAACTTCAATACAACTGAACTGGACAATGTCACAATACGTAGGGGTGTGCAATGCATCGAAATTTCGATTAGATTCGATTCGATGCATCAAATCGTGATTCGATTCAGCATGCATCGAAATCACGATGCATCGATTTGGCCTCGATGCATCGAAAAAGACCGATGCATCGATTAAGTCCCGATGCAACGATTACGTCCCGATGCATATTTAAAACTAATTTAGGACTCCAAAATGAGTTTTAGATAGGGAAGTGTCAATTATCGCTACCACCGATACTCGGACATTGCCGATACTAGGAATATCGGTATCAAGAATCGATTGCCAAACGTCGATTCCGTCGATACCGACACCCGACAGGGATGGATAGATATTTTATTTTAACATTTATTTATTTGATAGCTATTAGTTTTGTAATCGCGCTAACAACTTTAGTAACCAACTTAGCACACTATTTACAGTAGACTCCCTCTAGTTCGGCTTCGGTTGGATCGGCCGCCGGATGGTCCGGCCCGGTCTCAGGGGGACAAGTCATATCGTCATGGGCGAATGACCTTCGACAGGATTCAACTTGAATGTTTAGTTTCCAACCATAGAAGTAAACAATTCATGTCAGTTTAGTTGACGGGTGCTTCTATGGGTAAATTGTTGCATATTACCTATGTATAACTATGTTACATAACCTCAAAAATACCAAAAACATTTAATAAATAGTTTTACTTCAGTCTAATATGTTGAAATGCAGTGTATAATTAAATATTTTGGACCATTTTGTATGCGGTAGGTTCCCCCATTATTGTTTTGGAAACACCACGGTTTATTTGACAAAAATAAATTAAAGCAAAACAAAGAAATAGCCATCGTTAGCTTCAAGGTAAAGCTATCCGCTTGCACTGAAAATCATCTGCTCTTTTCACAACTGATGTCTGCTGTGCACTTGCTATCTTACAACAGTTTGTGATTGGGTGATTAGTAACCATGGCAACTTGTTGAATGTGTGGTTGAAGAGAAACCAAAGAAAGAATAGAAGAACAAAAAAGAAAGAATAAGCGGTGTTGCACGTCATCCATTGTTATTTTTATCCTATTTTACGACTGTCGTTATTATCTTTATGACTAAGTACTGTAATTTTATTCTGTTTTACAAGTTATTTAATGTTTTTATCGACATTCTTACGTTCTGAAACAACATTTAGTAGTAGCCTATGCTGACTACGGTAGCAGTAGCTTGCAGTACTAGACTTTCTATTGTTCTGTTCTTAACGTGATTTATTGCTGTACGCACAGTGTTGTGTAATTTTTGTTTTGCTTGAGTAAGCGTGATTTTAAACATTACAGTTTTTTTTATATTCTGAACCAAGGTTAATGACTTCATATCACGATTGCGCAATACTATTATTTGTATTTTGATTATGTAAAATGCACTACATCCGGTTAGTCCGGCCGTTTTGTAGTCCGGCCAGTGGTCCGGTCCCAAGGTGGCCGAACTAGAGGGAGTCTACTGTAGTTCAAAACAGCTAAAGTTTAGCTTCAGCTGTTCTCTCTGCAGGCAGGATATTGCACAACACAATACAATCTACATTTCAAGATGTCAGACTCAGACAGTCAGAATTCAGTCTCAGACAACCGGCGCGCGCACGTTTCCTCAACACGAAATTATACTAAAAAATGTCTGTATCAATAAGTCAGACCTTTAAATGTATTATTTTTATTTTTATAACAAAATAAATAACCGAAACTTGTCTAAATGTTCAGTTTCATCCCTGCATTACGCATCAATGCATCATTAGAAAAATTCGATTCAATTACAACATCGTCGAAGTCAGAGGGTTAGGCTTGCACTTGCCTATTGCACCAAAAAGTAGATCCATATTAAATCTGTACTATCTACCTAGTTTAAAAGAGTTTAAGTGAAGTTAGGTGAAGAGTTTAGGTGAATTGCTACTATAACATAAGTATTGATTGAAAAAAACCATACGCATAGTCCCTGTCGATTTTGTAATATTATAATGAATGGTGAATGTTGACCATCTAAGATAAATCAAAGTATGTAACAAGAGTTCTCATTGGTCGAGAGGCCACGCTGCACTGTCATGTCAGCCAATCGACGTTCAAGTTTCAATGGAGCAAGTGACGATTGTTTGATGTCATTATTTGTGTGAGTGTCTATTATTGTGGGAAGGTTTTAGATAAGATACATTGATAAATATCGAAAACCGTTATGTAGGACGTGTTTGTTTATAAAGAGTATAAAATTAGGTTAAAGTTTAAAACGGAGTGATTTTCTTTTGTCTTACAAAGACCTAGATTAGACGTTCAATTATGTCAGTTAACTAAATCATGACATATGGCTTTATATAATATTTTAATAAAACATCAATTTTTCCGATTATATATCAATATGAATATTTTGGCTCAAAACACCAATTGTTCCAATCGATCGTTGTAGCATCGACTAACCAACACAAGGGAGTAGGCTATGTTTTATCTATGGTTGTAGTTACGTCGTACCCGGCTGGTTCACAGTGAATCCACTCTGCCCACTGCCTAGCCTTGTTCTTGGTATCATTAGGAACATAAACACATTTGTTACTAATTAAAACTATGGAATGTTTGTTTAAAGCACCCGAAGAAACACATTTTGCTGCACAGTGCACACAATTCTTTTACACTGAAGGCTGTTATTTTTTTTTGAAAAAATTGTCGCATGGTTGCAAATTAACTTATTGAAATTAATTGTATCAAACGTGCAGTCTTTTCTCTTTTATCAAGGAGATTTAAGTCCCAAACAAAACATAATCTTTCTTTTCTGAAGGCTAAATTAAAAGATATCTTTAAATATAAAAGTAAAGAAATAAAAAAAAAACTGACAAATGGCTGATAAAGTTCTGATAAGCCCATTTATAAATTAGAGTAAAGTTTATCAGATCTATGCTTTAGTCATTGAATTCAAACATTTATTTTAAAATCAACACTCAGAAACTTTTGTTTAGACGAAGAATTATGCAAGCGACTGAGGGTGAGGGAGGGAGGGCATGTGGACCAGACTTTACAAAGGGCAATTCTGCCATTCTGACAAACTTTCTCTTTTCCTACCCCTTGTCCCGTTAGACAGGGGAGGGGGTGCTTCACTTCACACTAAACTAAACACCCGCAGTTCACCATCGCAGTAGAGTTGAGTTGTTGATGTTGTGGTAGTGACGTAATTCTGTCGTCTGCTCTTCACAGCTCACTCATCAGCGGCTTTCGTGAAATTATAATTGATACCTAATTTTTGTTGATAGTCATTAAAAAAATGTTGGCCTCCTCACCCTGTTCAAGGGAAAAAGTTAAGAAATAAAATGTTTGTAAAATGTGGTTTGTTTTATTATTCTGTATTGAAAAGATATCGTAATTTATTAATGTGTTTTCAGCTAGACTTAGTGACTTTTTTTCTAGTCCAGGAGCTGAGGGGGTTTGAGCATGCATGAAAGTAGTACGCAATGTTATTGCTGATTATTGTAATATGGACTGTGGTGATCAAAATTACGTATGTCGCCTATTTCAAAAGTGGTCGATAAGGTAGGGGGGAGGGGGCAAACATGGCGGTTTGCGCTATGCGTTAAAACGCTGATATTTCGAAAACGGTAAAAGATAGAACATCGGTTAAACTTAAAACGTCGTTGTAATTCTAAAAGTGTGGACTACAATAATGGTTATTGAGTCCGAGGTCGTATCTCTATAAATAAACAAGTTATTGTATAAAATATGTAAAAATGGACTTTTCGTGTAGTTTTTTTACCGAAAGTAGAATTAATTTGTGAGTGTCGCAAAGAAGTAATATCAAATATCTTTGCTGATAGTTTTAATATGGACTGTAGTGATAAAAAATACGCATGTCGCCTACTTTTCAGGTGGTCGAGAACTTGGGGGGAGGGGGGCAAAGATGGCGGAACGCGCTATGCATTGAAACGACTGTAGCTCAATAACGGTACGAGATGGGACATCGGTTAAAACGTAGTTTCAACCCAAAAAATATGGCCAATAGAAAAGGTTATTGGGTAAAAAGTTGTATCTTAACTAATAAAAAAGTTATAACAATAATAAGTTTAACAAAATCTACATTATACAGCTATTTTCTTCAAAAATCATATGGATTGTTGATAAAAAATAGTGTAATTACTTAATTACTCGGCTAAATATTAACCAGATGCATTTTCTTATAAGAAAAAAAATATATTATTACAAATACATATGGTTAACCCATGTCCCATCTCGTACCGCTATCCTTACCATTGTACCGTTCCTCCCTTTCCATAGCATTTAAGGATTGCAGATACCGTAATCTAATCGTCATAAACAAATCCCACACTCCACACTGCTACCCTTGACTATAGAATCGAGTAATCTTCAGTATATTCTTTGCTCAATAGTAACAACTGATGTTTTTCCTTTTGTACTGTATTTTGTTTTGCTAGTATACTGTGGATAGACAAATTAGAAGTCTTTTGTTTACTTTTTCCTTGTTATTTAATTCAGCCAACATGGTTACCTAGCAACCCATAAGACTAATGTTAAAAAAATGTGATTTTCAGTTTCATTTTTCTACGTAATTAGATTTTTGTTGGCAGTTCTATTTGCAGTAAACTCGTTTTTAGGCCAGAAATAAACTATATACAACATTTGAAGAAAATCGTCGGAGCCGTTTTCGAGGTCTTGGTGCAAGCATACATACAAGCAAACTTTGCTCGTATTAGAGTATAGGATATAGAAATAATGTTTAGAAAAAATGTTTGCATAGTCACCTAGCAACCAACAACAACGTATTGTCATATATACTCAATTACTAAAAGCTCATTGATTTCTGTTGATACCGTTGGCTAACCTGATGTTTTTCTTCCCTTTGTCTGTCTGTACATGTCACCTGATCTATTGAGTGACATTTCTGCTTATGTTTTGTTTACAAACAAAGATTAGTTATGTTATTTGTTATTTGTGGAAGTTGTGTTTTGAAAGTGCAAACGTGAGTTGAGTTTTACTTTGTAAAATGACTAAATATTTAAAAAAATTAGATGAAAAGAGGCTTTAGAGGGAACAAACATGTTAAATTAGGTAGTCTAATAAGGAAAAGAAACAGGATGATAAGAAAAAATCTCCTAGACATTGAAAAAGAAAAGAAGCAAGATTATGAAGCTGGAATGTATAAGTTCACGATTTCTCCTGCGTTTTTGCGATTTACCGAAAGTTGAATTTTTAAACATGAAGATCCCATTATCTCAGGAAATAGTAGGCCAAAATCATTCAAATTTTCACTGTGTATTTAACATATGTATATACACACCCCCTAGTAGAATTAGTCATCTAGCTCTAAACAAAAAATAATAAAAAAATCTTTTTTCAGAAATTACAGCGGAAATATTTTTTTATTTTATAATTTATTAAAATAATGCCATACCATAGATTAAATTTAATAAAATTATTTGGGTGTCTTTATTGTAGCATATGTGGGGAAATTTAAATGTTGTATCTCATATACTTTCTGAGATAATGGGTCAATTGCATGCATAATTTTAACATTACAGGCATAGGGACGTACATCTCCCCTTAAGTAGCTTACACTACTATATACCGTTCCAGCCATCCAACATCTTCTTCTCTCCAGATGGCCAGGTGAAAATAGGAGACTTTGGCCTAGTAACAGCCATGGCGGAGAGTCCAGTGGACATCTGGGTCAGTGTGGAGGCTGAACTGGACGCCTGGGCTGATGAGAAGCATACTGCTCGGGTCGGAACTCAGCTCTATATGAGCCCTGAACAGGTACTTAATTAAACTAGTGGATTATTCAGTTAAGCAGGGTTTAAGCTGGTAAAAAAATCTTGGAGCAAAAATGCTACAAGCTCCCTGATGTATGATTATGTTATGATTATCAGGGTGTCTAGTAGTCGGGAAAATCGGGAAAGTCAGGATTTAGTCTTAAATTTGATTTCAAAGTCGGGAATTTTCATGATTTTGCCGCGATCGTCGTCTTGCGTTTACGTAACCGCGAAAGCCAATGATGATGATATCTGCTCGGCCGCGGAAAGTGTTCATGATTTTGTCGCGGTCTCGGACGACGACGACGACGTTTCCGTGACCGCTGGAGATGACGATGACGTTTCCGTGACCGCGGGAGACGACGATGATGTCTACACGGCCGCGGGAAATGTTCAATCATGATTTTGCCGTGATCGCGGACTACGATAACGTTTCCGTGACCGCGGGAGATGACGATGACGTTTCCGTGACCGCGGGAGACGACGATGATATCTGCTTGGCCGCGGGAAATATTCATGATTTTGTCGCGATCGCGGGAGATGACGATGACGTTTCCGTGACCGCGGGAGATGACGTTACCGTGACCGCGGGAGACGACGATGACTTTTCCGTAACCGCGGGAGACGACGATGACGTTTCCGTGACCGCGGGAGACAACGATGATATCTGCTCGGCCGCGGGAAATGTTCATGATTTTGTCGCGATCGCGGAAGACGACGATGACGTTTCCGTGACCGCGGGAGATGACGATGACGTTTCCGTGACCGCGGGAGATGACGATGACGTTTCCGTGACCGCGGGAGATGACGATGACGTTTCCGTGACCGCGGGAGATGACGATGACGTTTCCGTGACCGCGGGAGATGACGATGACGTTTCCGTGACCGCGGGAGATGACGATGACGTTTCCGTGACCGCGGGAGACGACGATGACGTTTCCGTGACAGCGGGAGACGACGATGACTTTTCCGTAACCGCGGGAGACGACGATGACGTTTCCGTGACCGCGGGAGACAACGATGATATCTGCTCGGCCGCGGGAAATGTTCATGATTTTGTCGCGATCGCAGACGACGACGATGACGTTTCCGTGACCGCGGGACATGACGATGACGTTTCCGTGACTGCGGGAGATGACGATGATGTCTACACGGCCGCGGGAAACGTTCATGATTTTGCCGTGATTGCGGACGTCGACGATAACGTTTCCGTGACCGCGGGAGATGACGGTGATGTCTAAACAGCCGCGGGAATTGTTCATGATTTTGCCGCGATCGCGGACGACGACGATCACGTTTCTGTAACCGCTGCAGTCAATGATGATGTTTAAACGTACGGTACGTGGAAGATTTCATGATAAAAAAACAAAAACAAAATTTGCTAGTTGCTATTTAGTTTTTTATTGCTGCATTATTTCTTTACTTGAAAACACGACATTATCATAATACTACTTTATGACAAAGACAAGGGTTGGTGTAGTATTATTTAGAAAATTTGGTTAAGCTATAAAAATTGGTATCGTTATCAAGAATCGAGAATCGATACATTTTGGTATCAACACCCACTAATTGTTGAAAAAACTAGTCTTGAAAAATCTGGAATTAGTCTTGAAAAGTCTGGAATTAGTCTTGAATTTTGTAATGGAAATAAACTAGACACCCTGGATTATAAACATGTGTTCATTAATTCATTGTTTATGTTTACCAATTTTGTACAATGGAATAGATTGAGTAAACTAATATGTATGTTGATTTGTTGAGTTGAATCTTATCTATATATATAAAGCTCAAATACCACTGACTCATTCACTCACTCATCACGAAATCTCAAAAACTATAAGGCCTAGGAACCTGAAACTTGGCAGGCATCTTCCTTTTGGGTAGTAGACGCTCACTAAGAAAGGATTTTACCCTCCGACCTCTGGGCTCCGCCCCAGTGGCTGTGGAGTTTCCCATGTTAACCTTATGAGTACTCATATTTAAATGGAATTAATGAATCTTAACAGCTGTTTTAATTAAACAAGTTGGTTCTCTTCTATGATGTTCAATAGCATTAAAGTTACAAGGATTACCAACAGGGTGCAGCACTATTATTTCTTTTACATTTATGACAACAGCTAATTTGCAACCAAAAGGTGAGTGAGCGTAGCGAACGAACTTCAACCTGGAGGCGAGTTAGCGTAGCGAACGAGCTAACCTGAAGGCAAGTGAGCGCAGCGAACGAGTTCTAACCTAAAAGTGAGTGAGCGTAGCGAACGAACTTCAACCAGGACGTGATTGAGCCATGCGAACGAGCTCACTTATGAAGTTAAATGGGGCAAAGCCCGCGGGTACAGCTAGTTATTTAATATACTGTACAGTAATTGGCGACGAGGATGGCGAAAATAGGAAATATAAAAAGTTGAGATCAGTTGCAAAAGGGAAATTTCCAAAGCCTTTAAACTAATTGTAGAAAAAAAATCAACTGATAAAATGACAAGTTTTGAGTTTTCACAAACCAAAATTGAGCTAGCCGCTGAAGCTGAAGAGCAAGATGATCTAGCCTCTTATAGAAGTGAGACAGAAAAAATGTACATTGTTTTAGAAGCAGCTTTAAGACATGAAAATACATGTCACAATAATACAGGAGCCTAGACAGCACATTCACTTAACAAGGAACAAAACACAACATCAAAACATTAGCTTTGTTCCATATGATGAAGAAGAATATTTTAGGAATATCATTAAAAGATTTGAAAGTTTCCTTGTACTTAAATGATGTAAATGAAGAGAAACAAAGATTTGTAGTTTACTACATCCACTTTCACCTAAACTACATGACCGGCTTCTAGAAATAGTTAAACCTGATGAACTTGGACTCGTCACTCAGACCAAAAACTTCCCTTACACAAATCAAATCAAATATGCTTTATTCATTAAGTACAATTTTGTACACTGAATGGGGTCCATTAATCTATTTTGATTTAACTAGTTGCTCTGCCCGTGCTTCGCTAGGGGGTGAGAATCCAGAAAAGAATGATTCGGCTTTTTAAATCTACTCTAAGAAACAGTTACAACACACTTACCAGGAAACATATAGGCAAAGCTCAATTGTACTTATTGATTATTTAAATGCAGATTTCTTAATGTATTACCATCACTTTATACAGGGTGATCAACTCAAGGAGGCCACCATTGGGATATTGGAAACGCTAAGAATTAAGAGTGAACTTTAAATGGGGGACATTCCTTTATTTTTGTGGAAGTTAAAAACATAATTTAGTTTTTAGAAATTCAGCCGTCATTTTCCAATATGGCGGCCAACTTTGAAATTTCTTATGGAACACCCTATATTTTATCATGGTTATAGAACATGGTTTATGGAAATTATTTCCATAAACCCACTCGTTTAGGAGTTACAGCCTATGAAAAATGACTTCCGGTGTACATTTTGCATCATGTAGTTCCTAAACGAGTAGGTTTATATAGCGAAAATGGGAAGAGTAAACAAGTCTTAAAATTGCATCTACATTCCAAAAAGACCAGTTTTCCACTTTTCAAGTTTGCTGCCATTTTTTTAATAATAGAATCAATATTTTGTACGAATGTTATGGTCTTTTTTGAATGTAGATGCAATTTTAAGTCTTATTTAATCTTTGGAATTTTCTACCATTTCGGGCTTTAAAGCATAGTACTAATAAGAAAAAATGATTGTTAATATGATTAAAGAATGAATTTCCATTTGCCTGACTGAATTTTTACTAAAAATATATCCTAAAAATGTAAGATAGATTCCCTATTTAAATAACTTTAAATTTAATGAGTACAAGGTTTACTGCTATAGGGAGGGTGCTAAAGTGTGTATTTATGTTAAATATTAATAGATTTGTATAAAATAAATAAATTTGCCAAGTTTGATCAACATATATCTATAATAAGCAAACTGCAACAATTTTATTTTCCTCCGTAAGAATAACATGGGAATTTTAAGTTTAATACTAACTTTTATTATTTATCTCAATAACCGTTAGAGATAGAGCAAACCTTGTGATCAACTTTTGTATTTACAAAAATTCTGTAATACCAATGGTTTGTGAAAAATTGGCAAAAAAGTGAAAATTGGCCGCCATTTTCCAAGATGGCGGCTGAAGCACAGCTGGAATTTATGGGGACTTTTGGCATTTTCATCAACTTGGCTTACTTAACAACTGTGCAAAATCTCTATTTAGTCCGAATTTGTTAGGTCATTTTTCCTAATATTCTTCCTCTATTAGTTAAACCAGCACTGAAACGACTTTAAATTGTTAGCGTCGGCTGCTAGACTTTTTAAAAATTAAATATTGATTTTTAAACAACTGAAACCCTAAGCTAAAATATGGCTTCCACATTCCCTTTATTTCAAAATTATTTTTCTTTCAACACAAAAATCATGAAAATTTGTCAAGTGGTTGATTTAGAATTGAGAAATTGAATAATCCTCACACGTTTTAATAAGATGAATAATCCTCTCACGTTTTAATAAGATTGTGGAATACTATTGAAAGCTTTGAAGAATCAAGATTGACCCTCCCTTTTAGCGAATTTCCCATATAGGGAATAAGCTATTACCGTAGTACTCATGGTAAGACCTGGACGCCGGACCGATTTTTATTTTCGTTTTGAGGTCCCTAGAGGCCAAAAACACCATCCGTTCCAATTCATATATATATATATATATATATACATTTATATACATTTATATATAAATGCATTATTAAAAACTAAGTACCCTTTTTTAATTCATTTTATTTAACAACGACTAGTTTCGACGATTATGTCATAGTCATGTTGTTTTTATATCTAACAAATACAATAAACATTTTATCTAAATAATAAATACAATCATATGATTTCATAGGTTTTGATGACTTTAGATTTCTTCTGTTTTAAATGGTCTTTATACTATATATAATAATTTTCTCTCTTAATTTAACTGCAGGATTTTTTCAAATATTGGATTGGATTTGTTGGTGTTCATTGTGTTTA